AAAACACCTTTGTCTGTAAATATGTTTTAGCCCAAACTCTTCAAGTGACAGTATTATCTTGACCCAGTTCACATTTACTAAAGGAATTATGTTGTGTTGCATTTTTTATTATTAATGTATTCTTAATAATCAGTCAGTAATCGATTAGAAAAATAATCAATAGTTGCATCCCTAGAAATGATGCAACACCAACTCCAATCTATTATATAGTGAATGAGTATTTCCTAAAAGATTGGTTGCTTTTAGTATAAGGAATTTAAGGTATAGAAAACTTTACAGAAAGAGTCTTTGACATTTAACCATAATGGACTCCAATATCACAGAGAGGGATTTTCAGTGCTTAGCAGATTAAGTCAATCATGAAGTGGACTGCTTTAATTCAAAACTATAATCCCATTTTGGGAATAAAATAAATTTGCTGAATTTCTTTAGGATGAAAGGAGAATATTACTTTAATTCACAGATTGACCAAAAATTGTGCAGTTTTCACTACACAGATCTCATTCTGTGGATGCTTTTTTGTTTTGTTTAGCATACATTAAAGTGAACTGTCTTTTTCTTCTCTACTGATTAGAATCTGTCCTTTTCCAGATCTCTGGGTTTCTGTCAGGAGATAATGACTCTAACTTTTGATCAGCTTCAGCTCGCTTTGCTGTTGCCTCCAGCGTTTCTGGCTGCCTGCACTCGGCATTCAGGAGACAAAGTGAGATTAATGCTGAGGATTCGTTCAAGCTAAACATTCGGAAAATAGAAAATAGATAGCAGCCAATGTGTGGTCTACTCTTATATTATGTCTATGCTCATAATTGCCGCTGGGGTTTTCCCAAGCACCCCAAACGATTCTCTTGCGTGGCCTCGTGTGATTTCCCATAATAGCACGTGGTCCCGCGTGATCTCACTCGTCGTCTTCTGCACATCAGTCTGATTATAATGAATCATGTCATCTCAACATGATTAGATTTCATAACCGTGAAGTTGTTCAATTTCTTGTTTATCCAACATGATTTTGTCATGTTTTCCTTTGAAACATGAAATTATTGTGTTAACAGTACATGATATTCTTTTGTTAATGTAATAACCCCCTAAGTTCATTTTTTTGAGTGTAAAAAGTTTCGGCTCTAGAATGGGGTGGTTATTTTAGTCATATCAAAATTGGTTTACATCTCAAATCCATAATGGAAACAATTTCCCAGTAATAGAAAGCTCAATATTCTGACAAAAAAGTTTGTCTTAATTTTTCCAGTCATGTTTGTAATGTTTCTAACCACCTACTTGTCAAAAACTG